CGCGGTCTTTTTTACCATTCCACTAATCCCTTCCCACATCTGCTTGACGTTTCCCTCCAGACCTCCGTTGGCCTTCTGCACTACTTCGTCCCAAATGCACTTTTTCTTCTTTTTCACTAGTCCCTTCACCTGTTTTCTCTTGGCCCTGTACTTTTCCCAACTCTCCTCAGACGCCTCACTCAGGTACTGCTTGAAGACTACTCTACGTTCCCCTACTTCGTCTTTCAGCTCGTCACATCCCACCACTTAACCGATACCCCACATCGCACCACCTTCTTTCCCACTACTCTCTCTGCCGTTGCGTTCACGATGGACTCCCACCCTTCAATCACCATATCCCCTGCTGCCTGTACGTCTACCTGTCCGTCTTCGACGCTTCTCAGCAGTTTCCTGAAGGGTTCTACACTACCAGCCAATCCCTTCTGGAATTCATCCTGTGTCCCCTCGTCTCCCAAACGCTCTACTTTCCACCGGAACACTTTCCTCTGTTTCTTACTCTCCATCTTTCTAGATCGGTTGATGTTTGCCCATATGAGGAAGTGGTCGGTCGAACCCATATCTATCGCACTTACGTGCAGCTCTGGGATCTGCGTGCTCCCCCTACCTACCAGGATGTAGTCGAGGATTGAGTATTCATTGCAAACTGCCCGTTGCCGGCTTGACGGGGGGTGGGGAATACTTGAAAAGGCGAGGGTGACAATCAAACCAGGAGCGGCGAAATGAGGCACGCAACACGATTTCCCACCCAAACCTACCATTTTTCCAGCCACCAAGGCAAAAAACAAACTTGGATTGTGGTTTTATCTCGAACGGGTACAGTAGTCTTCGTGTGATTGCATGAATATTTTCGGATAAAAACAATCACGTCGTGCGAAGAAAACCAATCTACTTTAAAGATTTGACGGGGGAACTATTGTACCACCAAACCCACTTCCCCCGCGGCATACGGGGAGCGGTCGGTTCATGAGGAGGCGATTATCTGTCGGAGCGTGGAATCGCTTCTCGTTTGTGAACGATGAGTCTTATTCGCACTCGGGCGCCGTCATGCAACTCGACTGGTGTCAAGAGGAGGGTCTAGTTCCCTCGGCCATAGCTGTGGCATTTCTGCAGCAGGTTGCATACGTAATATACCACACCTCCTATAACAAGTTTTGATGGCTCGACTACGACTGCACCACGACGAGGATGTGTTTTCGGATAGCCCTCGACGAGACGATTCCAACGCCGCCCTTTCCGGCACTATACTGAATACCACTTCTTTGTGCCATGAGGCTATGAAAGTCGATTCAGGGGGTGTGGCATCTCATGCTACGGCGGTAGCTATGCTCCCCATCCTTCCACAAAAGTACTCCCTAAACCTGAATAAGAAATAAAAATAAACACACACCCCACATATTTATACATGTCCTGCCCACAATCAAAAACCTTAGATTGATCTACCATTTTCTTTCTCTACTTTCACTCCAAAACGCGCCACCTCTTAAACTTTCGTAGCAGTTGAGAACTTGAGCCTGACAGAACCCGCGATCAAAGAATTTCGCCATAGGAACAGGTGCAGTTCCGTCGTGATATTCAGAACAAGAATCTTCCTTTCCATGGCCTCGCTCGTCCACCGAGACGCCTTGCAGCATCGCCCGAGACGGAGGTCGGGGGGAAAGGCGCGTCACCGTACTCCTTTGGAGAAAATTTCATCGAGGTGCGCGACCACATCAATGGCGCTACCAATGGTCGTATGTCGTCGTTTTTGTGCTGACACATCGAACGCCGCATAGTGGGGTCCACAAGTAGATGCACGTAAAGCAGAGGCACATGTTTTTGTGTTTCGATTAAATCGCACACCATTTTGCATAAGTTCAGCTTAGGAACTGGCGCACGAGTGCGTCTGAAAGCCAAAAACGCAATATGCAATATAGGGACTGCTTTCATTAACATTGGCCGCCCGCGTTCGCATGGAAGATAGCGGACTCCCATCATTCCGCTATCAATCCGTCGCCGTGATCGTGCCTGGGTTGGCTGGCCGCTTTCCTTGGTGGGCAGTGAGCAGTCGGATGGCTAATTTATTCTCCGGACTCAATTTTTACGGTTGGTGAAAGCGTAGAAACAATAATTTGGATGAAATGCACCGTCCATCGAACCTGTCATATATTGGGATCGGAAACGAGACTGTGAACGGGACTGTGTATTAGACTGTAGAATTATATTAGCAATTTCCGACTCTGGGCAGACGATTAGATGGTGAGTTCAACAATAACGGCGATGCGTGCCTAGCATGTGCAACATGGAAGAAGGAGCGAAAACCTGCCGGAGATACAACCTAGACTGCTCTTTCGTTGACAACTGGTTCCCTGATCGGACAGCATCTAGCTTCTACTAGAGGCTAGAGGTTTTAGGCAAACTCTTGGAGTCAACAGCCCAATTGGAACAGCCCCTTGGTGGGGGATACACAGACCGTACTACCGAAATCCGTCGAACAGTCGGAAAACCTGCTGCAGCAACACCTTTGAACAATGGCCTGGTGATGCTTCTGGTAGGAAACTACTTCATGGGTACAAGAGGTCAAACAGGCGCAAATACAGATCCCTCCAATCCCCTCGCGGTTGCCACGTGGGCGCTCCAACAATGCGCGAAAGCGACCACGCCCCCTGCCCGCAGGTCTGCCGGAAAGTCAGAAAGGTTGTCATGTTCATGCATCATTTGACTCTCACCAAGAACAGCGTGTTGAACGCGCCGAAGATGACCCCGGGGGCGAACACGAAAAGAAGACCGAAGCCGATGGTAGCTATGGTTCCGGGGTCAAGCCGGAAGCCTCCTCCTCCGCGTCCACCGCCCCCGCCGCCCCCGAACACCATGGCTGTTGCCCGCCTGCTGGGTCGCCGATCCGCACGGGACAGCGGTAGTGCTGGCGCTCTCCTCTCCAACCCGACCTTGTAACCGAGGGGGTCCGAGCCAGGCTGGAACTGCGATACGTGGCCGCGACCCTTGCCTACTGGTATGCGGCTGCTATGCAACGCAGGCGGCGGCGACGCAAGGGTTGTGGTCGGTACGAATGCGGTGCTTGATCGCATTGACATCAAGGCAGCAACGGCCGTGGTGCACGCCACCATGGCGAAGCTTCTCCTTTTCGGCATGGCTCAAGATCTGTGGTAGCCTTCGTTCCGACGAGACTAGGGCAGGCCCTGGGTGTTGCTGGCGGGAGTTGTGGTGGGTGTGACACGTGCCTGCTGCACGAGCCGCGAGCGTGGTGTGTCAAGCTTGTCCCTAGCCCCAGGGGCTCCGCAAAATCGAAAAACCATATACATGTGCTTTAAATCCCCCGCCGACATGTCCACTGCATCACCTGTTACGCTCACACACACACACAAGAACGTAACGACGATGGCTGGTAGCCGCCTATGCTGCACCCTGGCCTCAAACGCGTCGGCCCTGGCGTCCTGCACCGTTGTGGCGTCTGCGGTGCAAAGCAGTCTGACATCTCTAAGTTGCTCAAACAGCGAAGACGGAGGCAGCCGTCGGCGGGGTAACAACCGGCGAGTGCGAGAGAGAAGCGAAGAGGAGGCAGAACCCGTGAACCCATGCGCCGAGTTCAACACGCTCAAGTGGAGGATGAGCTACGCTCACCGCAAGTGAGATTGTGTGGTAATGCAACAGCAACAGTAGTGTTGTCTTCACAAAAGAAGTATTGCTGTGCCTGCCCAATGTTCATACGAGCCGATTCATCCGTCCAAGATACAATCGAGTACTTACGCAACCCCCTGGGATATTATGTAGTTCAGGAAAACGCTGCCCCCCGCACTGGGAGAGTTTATCTAGCTGCATTGGCTGCTGCTAGACCCGATGCCGTGCTAAATACGGTGCCGAGTGTTATTACAGCACACATCACATTCATTCCAGGAATCGAAACGCCGATGCTACATGTCAGCCGCCATCCTCCTATAGCTTTCTTAAGATACCACACCCTCTTGACCCAATTTATAGCTCGATTGCTTTTCAGCAGTATCAGTGTCGGTACTAGAAATGGTGGCGTTGGAACGGTCTCGTCGAGAGCTGATTCCGACCATACATCCGTTTGACTGCTGTGGTGTCCACGTTATCGCGGAATAGTTCAAGATTTAAAAACCGATCCATCCAAGCGGGGTACGGTATTTTACGTACACCACGGCAAGGAAATGCATACTGTAGATAACGCTACCGATGACAACAACACGTGTTTGTTCTTGTTCGGATAAGTTGACGAGAGCGGTCAAGTTGACGTAGAGCACTCCGCGTAGCTAGCGGTTACGCCATATTTAGGGGAGACGGAACGCCGGGATGGGAGTTACGACAAGCAGTGCACCGGCCAGGGTGTGCACCGGAAGACTACACGACAGGCTGCCACTGCTAGTTGTACCATCCCTTGCCGAAGTCGGATCACTTGGGGCCACTGCCGTATGTGAGACAAGATGCCGACGAGGCGGTTCAAGCGCCGCCATGTTCGGCACGGTGGTGTAGTCGAGCTTTGAAAATCGGCTCAGGGGGTGCTGTATCTCGTGCCACCTACGGTTCACAGAGCGTGTTTTGATAGGCCGCTACACAGCTGAGGGCGAAATCTCTTAGTCCTGGCACGTGATATCTGTTGTCTGCATGGGACCGGTTCTGCCTCCGTCTCTCTCGTCGTGTCGACGACAGGAACGACTGCAACGGGGAGGATTCTTGCGTTTTCGTCGGGCGGAGCGTTACCGGCGCGTGCGTCCCCAGGGACCCTTCGATACTGCACAAGGTATGAGGGTGTCCACATCTACGGTTGACTTTCTGTTGCTGTGTGCCAGGGAGTCGATGTGCGCCCGCGAGACATTTTACGCGGACCCTTCGTGCTCCGGTGAATGCACGCGCAGTTGGCAAGTCTTCCAGCCGAAATAGACTAAGTAGTCAGCGCTTACTAGTCTAGCGGTTTTAGTTTTCGGTTTCCAAAGAGGACATAGTGAACGCTCCGTAATGCTGATTCCTTCTCTTACCCATACAATATTTCCTTTGGCCTGGACGTTAAAAGACCCCAATTGTCGTAACTTTGTTGTCACACGCCTGAATTCTTGCTATTAAATGCGCCCGCGAGAACGAGGTAACTTGCAAATTCCCCAAGACGCATGCGAAGTCCGGGCGGGTAATTTCGTTGATGACCTTGCTCGTCAGACTTCCCTTCAACCCTTGCCGACTTCTGTGCTCCGTCCTGCCCTTTCGTTTGGTACACAACACCTTGAAAGCTCTTGGTGTCATCGCTTTTGTAGATTTTATTCTTTTCGGGTCCTTGCGTTGTTTTTCCTTCCCACTTGCGACCCAATGCTGATTGCCGCGCATCGGTTTTGCATTCGCCCATCCCCGCTTGTATGTGGGAACATCATTGAATTCGACCACTATCATTCGGCAACGGTATCAACTCTCATGATGTTTGCGTGTATGGGAACATCATTGAATTCGACCATCATCCTCGGGCGATGGTGTCAAACTCTCATGATGTGGTCCGACGCGCGTGGACAAACGGTCAACCAACACCACCAGCGAAGGAGCTTCCCGAATGTCCCCCTGGTTTTGCCGGATAGCGACGGTTCCACGAAGAAACTCCAAGCCGCTCTTCAAAGGTGAAGATGCGCTTTTGTAGGTCTGACTTTGATGCCACCGTTTGCTCTGCGTGTCGGACATGGTCTAGGGTGTCGCGTGCTATGAACCATCGGCTAAGATTTCTGCATACAATACGTCGGTGTCTGATCCATTCGGTACGTTCGTACTTACAGCTCCACTCTGCTGTGTCTCCTACGCTACTTTCTACCATTTCTCTTTTTTCCCTCAAGTGTTGGTGGCCGGATCTTGGCGGTGGTAGGAGTGCTAGGGAGCATGTGTGGCTACGTACATCTCCCGGCTTGGGCACAATTCCCAACCAATTTTCCCGTTACTTTGCCTCTGCGGGGCGAAACAGGGCGTGTGTTAAGCGAGCGATTCTGTATGTGTCCACTTCGCACGAAATTGACAGACAGCACACGGCGAAGGTGATGAGCGAGACCATAGACGAGCTCGAGTCGGAGTTCGAACACAAAGGCGTGGAACCGTACTCCGACACCAAGCTCGCAGCGAACAAGTTCCGAGAGCTCATGTCTGCACTGGACGTGGAGGAGAGCACGCAGGAGCTGGCCTTGGCGATACTGCAGGAGGAAGGAATGCATGCTGTGCAGGTGAAAGTTCGCGCGTGCCTCTTTGTTGTTTGTTTTTCGTACAGTCGTAGGCCCTCCGTAAGGCGGGTATGGGTCAGACCGATTCTTCCGCCTATGCAGGGCACCCGCACTATTCAATGTATTTTCTGTCTTGAATATTCCATCTGTGCCAACCAATTTCACCCGCCCTATAGCGGGCACCCGCCTCATAAAGAGCCGACCACATTGTACAATTTTTCTGTATGTCGGTCCATTTACCTTTCGGCACGATTCTGGACGCCCTAGACGGGGTCGCACATGGAGACGGCCTCACAGGCGTGACTCTTTGCGCGTTGTCGATGTTGTATTTATCTTCCCATGCAGTTGCTAGGCGCTGGAATATTGTTCTATGCGTGTGTGTTTTGCAAGTGGTATTTTGTGGTATTTAACGGAACATCAGGGGTCACCACAAGAACGCACTGTGTTGAGAGACAGGACCGATGATGTAAATTGAGAGGTGCTACCTGCGGCAAAATGGGCGAAGCCCAATGAAAGATTCACTAACATTTTCGGTGAGGGTAAGTGGGGTTTGAAGGAGGTACGCCGTTGCGATGTTTTACTGGCTCGATTGCATGGTAACCTCGTAAAACTGGGTAGACGCGAAATGGTTGGTTTGAAGAGGGTACACACGTTAGATTCGATGGGACCAACGTTAGGCCTGGTAGAGAACTATAATCTACTTTTCCTGTAAAGGAAAGCAAGCCAGCAGTGGGGGGGTACCCCGAATCGAGAGCGCCGCAAGACAACATAAATGTATCTGGTGTAGTCTTGGTGTCGCCCCTCTACAGCTCTGGCAGGAGGTGCTCGTGATTAGATTTGAGCAGCAACAAACTGCGCCGCGGGGTAATTGACACGATATGCTGTTTCGGAACTCGTACATTTGATTAGTTCGTGTTGCATTAGTCTACGGACGAGCGGGTTTTCTTTACAAACGATAAACTGGAACTTTCCACTTCCCAGCATTGCAAAGCCTGTACAGGGTACAAGTTCACCGTTTTTTTATGCCATATTCATGTCATAGGTTTCATTGAGCACTCCGACCCAGATAATTCGTACTGTAGCACATGATACGACGTGTGATGCTGGGTGAGCTTGTACGATGCGTCAGAACCGTATTTTTCAACGTTTCCATCGTATCCCCCCTCTCTCCAGGTGTTCGTGAAGAGTCAGTTGGCGAACGCGGCCGCCGAAGAGCTACGATATCAAAAGTCAGCGACGGAAGCCTTCGCCAAAGACTTTCTCATGGAGGTATGCGTTTGGGCGGAGCAGCGCGTGGGGATGCACACCGTTTCCCGGACGGTTTTCTTCAGCTTGCAGTATACCTTACGGTAACAAGGGCTTGATCATTGCGGTTTTCTGGTGCAGGTCGGCGCCGATCACATCCAGGTGAAATATTCCCGACGTGTTTTGTTGCTTTGTGTCGTCGGTGCCCGTTCGAAAGTCTCATCATGCGAGACAATACCTATGGAGTATAGGACGGAGACGTCATGGTATTTGGTAGCAGCCTTCCGCGCAGGCTTGTCGTGCGGGGTGATACCCGGCACAGGTCCTGCGGCATTGTTTGTATTTGTTGAGTTCCTGATGAAGGAGTGCTCCCATCGTAGCCGCCGACACGAACGCAATCTTGGTCCCATGTCCGGTACAAGTCGCCCATTTCAAGCCGTTATTTTAGGCCGTATTTTTTTTATCATAGCCGGCACCAATTGCTTTGGCAGCTTTCGCATTTTGAAGAGGCGATAGATACGATACCATGTCTTTGAGTTCCCCTTGTAGAGCGAATCCCGTGCTTTTTTTCGCCCACCAGGAACGCACTTTCTGTTTCCTGTTGTGTCGCTTCCTTGTTGACTTTAGGTGATACGCGAGCCGGAGTTGCCGGGACAGATGGGGCACATGCTCGAGTCGGTTTTCAAGGTGAGGCTTGCCTAGACAACTGCTTTTTCCGTTGTGCGGCTGTTTCAAGGAATACGGTAGTACCTACTCTGAGCTTTGCCTTCGTTTTTATCGCGGAAAATCCATGAGAGTGTTTGTGTTTCTGTGGGCCGCGCGTAGGGTCAAGTGTGGCCGCCCTGCATGTTGTACCCGGCACTGCAGTGCTTGAAGGAAGAAACTGACATAGCCTTTTCTCGTAATATGATGGAAAGCATTTGTATCAAGGAGAAGGATTATTCTGTGTGACCCAGCATCCAAGCTCTTGCGTTGGAGCGGCAAGGCCTCACGTTAGCCAGAATCTGTCGTAGCGGGTGGGAAAAAACGGAATGAGTGGGGGGGACGCTATTTAAAGTGCATCGTCTGGGTTCACGAGGGCGTGTTCTAGCGTCAGACCATCTCACGCGCACTCTTTCACAACAACAGTAGATGTAAAACCGTGGGGTTGCGGGCCTGGAGTTCTCTTTGGCTTGGCGTTACAATCGGGTGGCTTCAGTACTGCCGGTGAAGTGGTCCGGTGCGGCTTTAGCGCTAGGTAAATCATGTGGCTCAGAGACTGCCCATCAGGTCGTCGCGTACTCTGAATGCGGCCTGTGGTGCTAATAAAATCGTGTGACACAGGGAGACAGCCATCAGAGTTGTTGTTGTTGTTGTCTTCACATTAAATACCGTTCCGATCGCTCTCTACCCAGTACCTTCGTATGTCCGTACTGATACAACACTGGACGCGGTTGATTCCCGTGGTCGCAGGCTAACTTACCCTAAAAAGGTGCACTCAAATAAAATGGCCCCGAGGGGTCCGCAAGTCAATAGAAATCAACGACAGATATTCTGGAGTCCTCCACTCCCTCTGCGCGCTATGCGAGGTAACAACTGAGACTAGGGGTCACCATCACGGGCCGGCGAGAATGAGGTACACCCCATTGGTTCAATCTTGGTACTTCACAACGCAAGCAGAGACAAGGCCATCTGGCACAGAAAACGAGAGAAGGGGAGAAAAAGGGAAGAAAAGAAAAGGAAACCGTAAGGAAAGGGAAAATGAAACAAATAGAGGGAGGACAAAAAGGGGCCAGGCCGAAAATATCAAGAAAAAAGAAACAAAAAAAGGCACACGGTGGAGAGACCACTAAAGACAAGCAAACACGCAAACATGGCCACCAACCAGCGATACATTGTAATGGTATGTCATCACTAGTGGGGGTGGGTGCAATGGTGCAGCGTTGGGGGGGGAAATTGGCTAAAAGAAATCCAATCCGGCACGTATCGCGCCACTCGGTCCGTCTCTCCTCGNGTTGGGGGGGGGGAATTGGCTAAAAGAAATTCAATCCGGCACGTATCGCGCCACTCGGTCCGTCTCCTCTCGTTTGCTTTCTTCCCTCGCCGTCACGTGCGTCTCCTGCCCGCCTTCCACCCCATTGGTTGGTGGCTTGTGGTTTCGTTTGAGCGCTCGTTGTCGGCTGGCCTCTTCTTCCTTCTCGTGCCAGGAGGTCATGAACCTCTCAGCTCCATGCAGCACCGCCGCATGCCAGGGTACTCCCCCCTCTACCTTCGCGGCTTCCGTACACTTCAACTTCGGTGCCGTGTCTTTCGGTACCGGGATCCCGAAACACTATCGATCGTTTTTCGTAGATCCGTGGTCGGCCCCGAATGCCTTCAGGTCGTCGAGCACACACTTCGGCCAGTTCTGTTCCTGTCCCCCCCTACGTCGCTTCTCCCCCCC